AACACCAGAAGCTAAGAGAAAGGCATTAGACAGATTCTCCCCTAGAGCTTCAGAGAAAGCATGGCCCTGGAAACACCTTGATTTAGGACTTCTAGCCTCCAGAACTGTGAGAGAATAGATTTTTGTTGCCTTAAGCCACCCAGTTTGTGATACTTTGTTATGGCAGCCTTAGGAAACTAACACAGTATGCATAATGCCATGGGCTCCCTCCACGGAGCCCTGTCACCATTCATGGACCATCTTCAGCTCCGCCACATCTGCATGAGCCCCTTGTCAATCTGGATGAAGAAATATCATCAATGCTGGTCTGCAAGACTCTGGGTTCCCTAAACACACTGAAGATATCCACCAGGATGTCCTCCTGGACCCGCCTGGGGGTCAGAGGATATAGGAGGACAAACATAGTCAAGTGGTCTCGAAGGGCCAGAATCAATATGCACAGCCTAACAGGATTTGCTTGCATGCTGACGAGATAGACTTGGCATCTGCAGTTGAGCGTCTTGGAAACCATCAGCTTAGACCCCAAGCCATACTTCACAAGATGTTCCTTTGCTGGCAGGGTCTGCTAAGAGCCTGGAAGAACCTGATGCTATCACAGGAGATGCTTTTGTACTTGCATTCCAGCCCCCTCTCCATGCATGTGCACCTGCCATGCCCAAAGCCAAGACAGATCTCAGAAAAAAGGTCAAAGAGTTTGTCCACATGGACATAATACTAGACTTCTGATAATGTCCCCTTCACGGACTCTACCAGCTCCTCCTTCCCATGGATTAGGCTGACGTTGATTCAGCCAGACCCTGATAGTCAAGTGCTTCCTTCTTCCCTTGACCTTGGCCTCCTTCTCCTGGGTCAGCCTGCTATACTACTTTTTGGTGAAGAGATTGCAGTTTGTAGCCTTGCTTTCCAACATCTGTTGCAAAAACTGAAGGAACAACTCACACACGTGGCCCCACAGCATCCAGCCTTTGCAAGCCCACTACCTTCTCCCTCCGGGACATGATCACAGTGCCAGAGAATAATCATTTGGAGGCAGGTTCACAACCCAGAGAGTGCGGACACCCATGCGAATAGCATACTACTGTGTGAGAAGAGAATAAATGGGAAGCAGCAAAGTTCATAATGAAACAATTTCATTGAGGATGGGGTAGAACATGGTGGGTCAAACATGAGTCAGGATTCCAATTCCAGCTTACCCTTAAGCAAGTTGTTTCATCTTTTCTGAACCTCAATTTATTCATCAGTATAACAGGCACAATAATGCCTACTTCACTGTTTTGTTTTAGAGATTAACACCATTGTGGTAAAGACTGCTAATGGCCTTTAATATCCACTCTACCCTTCTTCTGTAGTATTAGAATTTTTATTGGGCACATGGGCTGCCCAATTAAAGACCTCATTTCCCAGCCTGCCTTGAAGCTAAGTGTGCCCATGTGATTAGGTTCTGGCAAATGTGATGCGAGCAGAAGAAATGTTTGCAAATTTTTGGTCATGCCCTTAAAAGGAAAGGAGCCTAGCTTGTGTGCTAATACAACCATAAATGTAAGTTGTCAGTAAATAGCAACCTTGATGCAGGCACTATCATCTCCATTTTACAGACACGAGGCAGAAGTACCAAAGCGGCTAAGCATTTAAGCTTTGGAGTTGGGTTGATGTGGGTTCAAATTTTCAGTCTCTAACCTACGACTAGCTTTGTGACATTGGGCAACTCACTTTACCTCTCTGAGCCTAGTTTCCTCATCTGTGAGTAGCAATAATTATAACTCCATAGATTTTTTTCTCTCTTGCTCTCCAGAACCTGCTTCTTCTCTCAAGGTCCATCTCAAATCATGCCTCTTCCACAGTCTCCTAACTAGCTTTTAAAAAATAGTACACATCCCAAAAATCTGTCAATAAGAGCCCGTACTGACATGCCAAACTGACCAATTCTGATATCCTTCGGTGGCGATAAGCTGCCAGAAATGAGTAAAGGCTGCCCTTTTCAGATGGCCTCGGTGCCCATCTGAACTGCTTTGCTCACAGGGTACCTGCCCGGCCCCTGTCGCTCCTGGTTCAGTGATCTCTGCAATAGACTAATCTCACTGCTGGAACACTGCTGGGAAGAATGGCTGACAATATTTAAATAAATTCACTGAGAAATAAATATAAATGTTCAGTCTTTTATCCAATTCACAGAGAACATTGCTGATAGTGATAATCAACAAAAAATAAAACCACAACTGACCAAAAGAGAATATAGAAAACTTGGATCTGAAAAATTTGACCTGAGAAAAATAGAATTGATGGAAAGGGGGACCATACACATACCAACAAAATCTTACGATAGAAGAAGATATGGTTAGTAAAATTTGAGAGTAAGCCAGAACCCAATCCACGGGTCAAATCTTTTCAAAATAAAAACAGATCTCTTGGGGCCGGCCCACTGGCTTAGCGGTTAAGTGCACACGCTCTGCTGCTGGCGGCCCGGGTTCAGATCCTGGGTGCGCACCGACACACTGCTTGTCAGGCCATGCTGTGGCTGCATCCCATATAAAGTAGAGGAAGATGGGCACGGATGTTAGCTCAGGGCCAGTCTTCTTCAGCAAAAAGAGGAGGATTGGCATGGATGTTAGCTCAGGGCTGATCTTCCTCACAAAAAAATTAAAAATAAAAATAAAATAAATAAAATAAAAACAGATCTCTTTATAGTCAGAAACGAAACAAAAATGCCTAATATATGCTGGTTATATGAGAGGTCCTGGCTAGTGCAGTAAGACAAGAAAAAGCGTAAGATCTGAACACAGACAAAATCTTTGTTTTTCACAGACAACATGACTGTTAACATAGAAAAGCAAAGTGATACCAAAAACCATTGGAAATTTTAAAAGATTTTAGCACTGTTGCTAGATACAAGTTCAATATACAAAATTCAATTGTGTTCCCTTTAAATACCAATAACAAACGTGTAATTTCTAAAGATACCATTTACAGTAGCAACCAAGTCATACGGTACCTTGGAATCAATCCAAAAAAAAATTATGCAAGACCTTTATGAAGAAACTATTAAATGTTATTGAAATTCATAAAATAAGACTTAAATAAATGATAAATCTAGTAGGGTCATAGATGGGTAGACTTAGTATTATAAAATGGCACAAATGCAATGCAATTCCAATTAAAATCCCAAAAAGTGGTTTCTGGAACTTAGTAGGCTGGCTCTAAAATTTACACAGAGGATCCAAATATAGCTGAGACAATCTTGAAGAAGAAGAAGGAGAAGGAAGAATGTTTCCCATAAAAAAAAGAAACTAGAGTTCAGATTTCTTTTTAGAAATTGGAAGATGTGGCCACAGTGGGCTCCTGCTCACGGAGAGCAATAATCAACTGGAGTTGACTAGCGGCTGCCCCTTCAGTGAGAACATGTGCTCTCCAGTTCACTGGGAATATTTTCCTGATTTAAGGTAACTGCCTGATCCTTGTAGATATTTGATGGTGTGACAGTTACCTGGGGTGGGGAGTTAGGGTAAGAGGAATGGAAGAGATTATTTAAAATACATAGGTTCTGCTGGGTTTTGTAAATAATCTCCCCGAGGAAAGACATGAGCAGGCAAGCAGAAAGAACAAAAGAGCGGAGTGGGTGAATCTTAAGACTTGGATGTTTCTGATAAGGATCCAAGTATGATCATGGGAATGTGTGGCAGAGAAGGGATGGAGGAAAGCACGTCAGAGGTTATAAAGTGAGGGAACTGGAAGGTCCAAATGGCACAAGAATTGGAGATGTTGGCTTCCCTGAGACCAATACATGGAATTGGAGTGAAGGGAAAGATCTTAAGAGCCCACAGGGACTCCAAATTGCTAAGTAGAACTGGAAGACGTGGGAGAGAAATAGAAAAGAATCCAACAAATGCAGAAAGGAAGAACAACCTTTCCTGGAAACCCATTGTGGACCCAGCTCTTCGACATGGGCTATCTCCTTGAATCCCCACATTAGCCCTCCGGGAGCAGATATTAATAACCCTTTGTTACGGATGAGCAAATGGAGGCTATGAAAACTGAAGTCATTGGCCCCCACATGACAAGGCTGAGATTTGAAGCAGTCACATTCAAACTAGGGTTTCCGTGACTCCACAATCCACCTTTTCTTTCACCCAAGTTGGAAAGGTCACTGAAGCACCCTGAAATGAGCACAGATATGAGTAAAGAAAACAAAGCTGACAAAAAGTGATGTTAAACCCATCCCCTCAACCACTCAAATTTTATCAATGCTTCCAAAGCTCCAGCTGAGACAGACGAGGAATAGATTCTGTCCTGTGCTAACTTTAGCCACGGAATCTGTGTGTTACCGAGGTTTGCTGGAGAGTCTGATGCAAATAGTTCTTGATCCACGTCAGAAACAAAGCTGCTGAAGAAATATAAGCCACCTACACGTGGGGCCGCCTATTAACTCTGCCACTTGACGGAGTGATTGTCTCCAAGCCCCTGCCTCCTGTAAAACGGGTATAATTACAGCACTGTTTTGGAAGATTGCATGTGATAAAGCTTGCTATCATATCCTCAGAATAGTACCGGGTACGCTCAGAATAGTACCGGGCACTTAAGTGCTCAAAATATTGTAACTGTCATGAATATGATGGAAGTCTTTTTTAAAAAACAATGCAATGACTCACTTGGAAATGTATCAAAAAATAAGCACTGATGGATAGACATGGAGTGTGACACGGTATACCAAAATTTTAATGACAGAAAGTTAAAGCAGTAAAAAGTCAAAGGTAAAATGTTCACTGTAAAATTCTTTCAACTTTCTGTATGTTTGAAAATGTTCATAATCCGACGTTGGAAAAACAATGCACTGTGACACGCCCTGGAAGGAAGGAGAGCTAAGTTTTGATTCGTTTTGTTTTTAACAGAAAAGGGATAAAAAAGAAAAAAAGGGCGAGATCTTCCTCAACTCCGTCCCTCCTTTGGGCTGTCGGCCGTTAGTACTGCTGCTTGAATGAAATCATCGAGGACCGCTTGCGAAATACCAAATCCTCGAGAGCGAGGCCCAAGGCTGCCAAAGCCTCGCCAGGGACAGGGACACGCTCCAGGCGCCGCATCCCGCCCCGGCGCCGAGGAGGTGGGGCCGGAGCGAGCCCTGGCGGAAACGCGGCGCGGCCGTTACCAGGGGGCTCCAGGCCGGCCGCGCCGCGCCACTGGTAAATACCTTTGGCGGGGCGGGGGAGAGGAGCGTCGAATTTCAAAAAAAAAAAAAAAACCCAAACCCCCACAGCCCCCGGCGGGCGGGCGGGCGCGCGGGATGGGCGCCCTTTGGCTGCGGGAGCGAGTGGAGGATGCTGGGAAGGAGGTAAAATGGCCACCGGCGGCGGCGCGGAGGAGGAGAGGAAGCGGGGGCGCTCGCAGCTCCTGCCCCCCGCGCGCCCGGCGGCACGGGGCGAGGAGGCTGAGGGCGGCCGCGAGAAGATGGGCTGGGCCCAGGTGGTGAAGAACCTGGCCGAGAAGAAGGGCGAGTTCCGCGAGTCGCGGCCGCCGCGGCGCGAGGAGGAAGGCGGCAGCGGCACGG